GGATCTCGGCCCCGGGCTGCGCGCCGCGCGGGACTCGGCCGCGGGCCGGCCTGGCACCGCAGTGCTGGCGATCTCGGCCTCCAGTGGCTGGGCCTCCCACCGCCACAGCCTCCCTTCGGACTTGAGCTCAGTTTACCGCCAGCCTTGTCGGCTGCTTCCAACTCCATGCCGTACAAGTCGGCTCGCCACTGGGCGCCGGCGCCCGCGCCGGTCATCCCAGCTGCTCGGGAGGCTGACGTGAGGATCAGGGTTCAGGGCCAGCCTGGGCAGGAAGGTCCGTGAGACTCCTATATCCAATAATCCACTCAAAACCGGAAGTGGCCTCGCGGCTCCAGTGGTAGAGCGCTCGCCTTGAGCTGAAGAGCAGCGCCCAGGCCCCGAGTTCCGAGTTCAAGCCCCACGGCCGACCAAAATCAACAAACCTGTGTGATGGTGTTGTGCCAATACAGTCCTGGCTGGCTGTCATCAAAGCAAAACCAAGATGTTTATGATGTTTATGATATATATCTATATCTATAGATATCTAGATAGCTGGATACAGCCAGTCCTGGGCTTGAACCGAGGGCCTGGGTGCTGTCCCTGAGCTTCTTTTGCTCAAGGCTAACACTCTACCAACTTGAGCCACAGTGACACTTCTGGCCTTTTCTGTGTATGTGGTACTGAGGAATCAAACCCAGGGCTTCATGCATGCTGGGAAAGCTCTCTACCACTGAGCCACCTTCCCAGCCCAGAGACTCTTCAGGAAACATGATGCAACCCTTAGGCTGCTTGCAAATGCTCTCCTCTGCAGGTATGAGCCTTTAATTGAGGCGCTAAAGGAAACCCAGAAAGGCACTCTATTTTTCTTGTGAATGCTTGGTTTTTGAGGTACATTCTTGCTCTCCAAGAATTCTGAGCAACTGAATGCAAATTTACAGATTTCCCAAAGAGCAGAGAGGGAAATCTGCCCAGTTTCCTTCGATTTAATGCTCCAGTTACTGCGCTGTGCGTCAACATCATGTTCCTAAGGTGTTTATTTCTCTTTTAGATCATGAAATGTTTATATTTTAAGCATAAAGACAGGTGTCAGAGGTGCATGTCTGTAATCCTACCTACTCAGGAAGCTGAGATCTGAGGATCACAGTTCAAGGCCAGCCTGGTCAGGAAAGTCCATGAGACTCTTATCTCCAATTAAACACCAAAAAAAGCTCTAAATAGAGCCATGACTCAAGTGATGGAGTGCTAGCCTTGAACAAAAATGCCTCAGGGACAGTGCCCAGGCCCTGAGTTCAAGGCACAGGACTGGAGGTGTGTGAGCACACACACACACACACACACACACACACACACACACACACACACAGAACACCTATGAGCTCCTTGTTATTCAGACATTTGCCTCAAATCCCTTCTTAGCCATTGTGGTGTTCTCCAGTCCTGGTAGGTCACTATTGTAAGTCAGCTGAGTGAGGGTCCTAAGGCCTACTGGAATCCTAAAGAACTAAGTCAACTTTACAGCCAGGATATGCAGGTTTAAGGAAAGGAGACTTACCTTATTAAAGTTGCACAAAGATGTTTTTTTTTCCTGTTCTTTTTTTGTGGTGCTGTAGATCGCACTCAGGGCCTCACACAAGCTAGGCAAGCTCCCTACCACCGACATACACCTTCCACCTCAGAAAACAAACAGCAGAAATAGCATGTTTAAGAATCAGACTCAGCCATGTCCAAAAACTGTCTTTTCCATTTTCCACTGAGGCGACTGGTCCACAGGACAAGATGCAAACAACCAACTCCAAGTTTTGTTCTGCAACACACCAACAGTTCCAACATGCAAACGAGCAGTTGTAAGAATTAGAAGTGGAGTGGGTGGGGATTCAATTAATAGTGGCTCTTGGTTCCCTTTACTGTGGACCTAATGTGTGCTGTGCACCGTTCTAATGCTGAGAACACTATGCTGAGGGATTTCAGGTGAAAATCTGCTCCTCTCATCTTGTGGGTCCATTTCCACCAAATCCTGGCAACTGGGCCTTTTCTGGGTGAGAATAGGGGACAGGATACATTCTGAATTCAGTTGAGTGACAGGTGGCTGTCTTCAGGAATTCTCAGCCTATTAATGGTATTAATAATCACGATCATCCTGTAGCACTTACTCTTGCATGTTAGAGCATTTTATTTAATCCTCATAACTTTTATCTGTGAGGTACTGGTTACTATCATTCATGCTGCCATCACAGTCTATTGTGCCCATCTGTCTGCATTTATAGTACTAGGATTTGAATTCAGGGCTTTCTCCTTGCTCAGCAGGTGTTCTACTTGAACTCTGCCTCCAGCCCTGCGTATTTCTGAGATAGGGTCTCACTCCCCACCCCCAAGCTGACCTGAACTATGATCCCCTATTTACACTTACCTGGATGACAGATGTGAACTTTTCTGCCCAGGCTGGCCTGCAGCCAAGATCCTTCCAATCTCAGCCTCCCACATAAGTGGAGACACAAATGCAGAATCACTGTGTCCTATGGGTTGAGGTGTTTGCGTGGTGGAGGGCCAGGGGTGTGGGTCTCACAAACTTTTTTCTCAGGCTAGCTGGGATTACAGGTGTCAATTACCATGCCTGGTTTTAGTGTACCTCTTAGTAGTCTCTATCACAAATGAACTGGCTTCTTACAAAGAAGACAAAGGTCTCTTGAACAACTTAACCATTTAGAAACCTGAAGAACATGCTGTGAAGTGTTCTTACTCAAAGACTTAAGAATTCTAATGCCAAAGGGAAAATAGGGACCTGCGTCCCTCTGGGCCGGGGGGGGGGGCTGCTCTTCTTTTTTTCTTTTCACTAAATATGACAGCTTTATTGAGGGATGTGTAAGTTTTAAAGCAAATTGTGTCATCGCGATTTTAGTAAAGATATTCATCATCAGTGCATGCACGCATGCCTATAATACCAGCTATGCAGCAGGTGGAGGTAGGAGAATCAGTCCAGGGCTGGCTGGGTCAAAAGCCTAAGACTGAAAAAAGAACTAAAGCAAAAAGAGCTGGAAGCATGGCCCAAGTGGTGATGTGCTTTCCAAGCCAGTGTGAGTTCCTGCGTTGTCTCCAGTCACACACATACACATACACACACTTTATTTGCTCTTAACACATTAGTATTTTACAGGAGACAAGCATGAGAGTCCCTCACCACTCTTCCCTTACCTCTCCCTAAAGTAATGGCTGGAGGAATGGTGTGAAGTCTTTACATGTCTATCTTTACATGGAAAAAAAAACAACAACCAAACCTCAACATAAATGGGAGAAGATAAATTGTCTCTAATTGGTGATTTTTCATTTCATACAGGTTACATAGAAGCCAAACATTTTCTGGAATGTTTATTAGACATTGGTTTTTCTGTGAGCTATTTGTTCAGAATTTCTATTTTGTACTGAGTTTTCTTGGCTTTTTTTTTTTTTTTTGGTTGGTTGTGGGGCTTGAACTCTGGGCCTGGGCACTGTCCCTCAGCACTTCAGCTCAAGGCTAGCACTCATTTTCTGATGGTTAATTGGAGATGAGTCTCACAGACTTTCCTGTCCAGGCTGACTTTGAACTGTGATCCTCAGATCTCAGCCTCCTGAATAGTGAGGATTGCAAGCATTATCCTGGGCTGGGAAGAATTGAGTCACAAGAGTCTGTTTGATACTATCACAGGCAAGCTCAGCTCTTCGAGATTCCAGAGGTCCCCAGAACTTGTCAGGTAATAGACGTAATAGAAAACTGTTTCTGGGGTTGTGGCTCTGTGGTACAGAGGCTGTCCAGGTCCCTGGGTTCCATCCCCAGGCTGCACAAAGGAAAGACATGACTACTTCTTTAACAAAATCACAGATAGGTAATAACTCTTTACATGTGAACGGGACTTTAAATGCTTCACATATTTCTGTGCATCATAACAATTTCAGCAAAGTCTTAGAGCAGGTGTGATTATGCCCATTTTCAGGGACCTTCCAGTCAGAAGGCTCTGCTGAGTGCCCCTTTACTAAGGGAAAGGCATTGCCTGCCATTCTGCAGGAATTACACAAGTACAGGTCTGAAATGGTCCACGGACGTCATTGTCAAGGCTGTGGCAAGGGCTTAGTTGTCAGTTACATTGTCAAGGCTGTGGCAAGGGCTTAGTTGTCAGTTACAGTTTTACCAGAGTAGTGAAATGGACACACAGACACACCCACTTTTCAAATGCACAAACCAATGGGAAGTCTTGGTTACACTGGCCATGGAGAATGGATCTGCAAAAATCAAGAGCAAAATAAACTGGAGTCCAGCCACCAGGTTAATAGCTGAGGTCTTTATTTCAATTTGTATGTACAGTAAAAGTGCTGCTGAGAGTCAGCAGCAACCAGACAGAACATAAATTTAATTCTCTCTCAACAATTAGCAGCTTAAGATCTATCAACTACAGTGTTAACGTTCACGCGTTCACAAGTGTCATTTCTTTACTTTTCAATTCGTGCATGTGAGTTTTTACTCTTACACACTTCGATAAAGCACACGTACAGTCTAGTAGTCAGTCCCTACTGAGGGTGTCACCTAGCATACACAACACACAGACAGCAATGTTAATGCTGGAGAGCCACATCAAAATCGCAGGTTTCATGGAGGGTGATGGTATGGGAACCCGTGATTTTGCCTGTGCAAAATTTGAGTTTGTTGTTGCATCATTTGGTTTTGTTTTGGATGCTTTCCAAAGCTGCAAGGCAAGCTCCTTACTGGTACTTGTTTGGAATCCAGCATTTCCTCCAACTGTCCCTCAAGTCAGAAACAAAACCAAATGCAGTGAAGACCACAGGAAAATATTCTCATTGGGATACAGCTAGCAAGGAAGGCTTGATCCCAGGTTCCTCTTGGCATCAGGTTCTGATCCTAACTGTGACGGGGAGGAGGACCCCAGCAGGTGACATATAAAACTGAATACACTTTTGCATATATTTAAGGAGCCAGTGGGGCAGAAAGCCTTCCTTGCCAGGACACATTGAGAACACCAAGGAATTGAAATTGGAGCAGGCAGCCCTTCGAATACCAAGAACAATGTAAAACAAAGCCACTCTACGACCTGAACAGAGTCACCCAGGCCCACAGAGCCAGCCTCACTCACCCAGGCTAGGACCAGCATGAACAAGTAATAAAGGAATGCTTCACTTGAAAGGGAATGTACATAATCTTTTTTTTTCTTCAAAGAGAATTAAATTGAGGGCAAGTTTCTTTCTGAACAATTGTTAAACCACAAGAGCAAGGTTATAGAAGGGTTTGGAACAGACAGAATTCAAAGCAGCTCAAAGGCAGCAGGAAACTGGAGCATGTTATGATGAGCACTAGATGAAGGAAAGTGCTGGGCCTGGTGAGTGACAGGGACAAGAGAACAAGAAAGCCATGCAGGGCCTGGCTGGGGCTGCAGGCCCTTCTCCAGACAGTTCCAGAGAGAAAGGTGGGACGTTAGTGTGGGTCTGTTTGGCTGGAGCTCCAGGGGCTTTCCAGAGGTGAAAACCTTTCTTGGATAGAACTGTCTCAAGGCAAAGGGGAGTCACTTCAGCTGATCTATCACAGTGATAGCCAGTGGCTACAAAACTTAGTCACCTCTGTGCAGCAGGAGACTCTTTCCTTCTTAGCAACACCAGTGGCCCACACTACAGCACTTTCCCAACGGCCCCGTGAGGTTCTCTCTGTACTGAAGGACTGACCAAAAGCAGCAACTGCCTGTCTGACAAGGTCGTGTGTCCTTTGGCACTCCTGCTGAAAGTCACTGCAATATTTTTAGGCAAAGTTAACGTTTTAAGTATATAGGCTTGGGGACAATTTGTTTTGGCATGAACATGAACTGGTTCTAATGTTATTTTTTCTTAAAGAAAAATCACCCCTTATGGTCCCTGATCTGGATGATAACTGTGAGGTGGAGGGCAACGATTTGGGGATGGGGTGGAGACTGGGGTACCTGAGTTAAAATATCCAAGTGGTTATGGAGACAGCATGCTGACCCGGAGAAGGCCTGGCCGCCAAAGCCAGTGGAGGCTAGCGCTGTCAAGTCAGCCACCCTTTCCAACTGACAGGGCAATGCCAGGCTAGTTCCTACAGAAGGCCCTGGTGTGGGGGACCAGGGCACTGCTCCTGACCCCTAAGCCCCACCTGGCTGCACAGAACAAGGCCACCAGGGAACTGCACTTGTGACCCAATACAATAAGTCGTAAGAAAGCATTAACCAAGCTCTCGAGGGAAGTTTTAAAAAAGTTCCACCAGGATGGTGGGATGGGCTGGGGGCACTAGTTCATCTCTCTACACTCTCTACACAAAGTCCACCAGGCAGTTAGGGAAGTCCTTCCAGATTGACAGGAAGCTACTGATACTTTGTACCCAACACAGGTAGGGTCCTTCCAACCTGACATTTCCTGTTCTGCTAGTTAGGAGAATCAGAGCGGTGGATTCTCTTAGGCAGCAGATAAAGCTTTGTTAGGTTAGGGTGTTGGGGCCAAATGCAGACTGAAGATTCCACATCACTTTGGTTTCAGTAATTAGGGAATGCTAAACAATAAATTAAAGAAACACAAGAAATTATTTATGACTCTGATAGTCTCAATGTTTCCTAAAGACAAACCCAGTCCAATGTCACTGGGTGGACATTTTTCTTGGGGCAAAAATACCAGTCCTGCCATGCTGTATGTGGAGAAACTGTCCCTTCTTCCCTGCAAACCCCTTGGCTCTCCAACCAAGCCAAGCCCATGAAGGGGTGGTAGAGGGGTGGAGGACACAGAAAGCAGCAGCAGCCAGGGCAGAGAATTTAAGCTGCATCTCAAAACAAAGGCAGCAGAGGGCAGCGTTTCCAGTATCTCACTCAAAGGGTCCAGGAGGGAGCAGCAGGTTTAAATATCCACACATCCTCATTTAAAAACATCACTTCTTTATTTCAAAGGAAAAATAAAAGATCCTCCCAACCCTTTCCAAAAAAAAAAACCCAATAATAATAACAACAATAATAAAAAATCCTATTAGAAACCATAAGGAAGCACTGAGAGTTTGAGTATTACATTCTTCAAGTATGCTGTTCGGATTTTTTATTTTTAAGTTGGTAACTATACACACATACAAAATAAAAAACACCAAAAAACCAAAACCTTAAAAGTGCGGCCGAGGGGATTTGCTCAAAATTAAGGATGTAGAGGGCTACTTCACATACTGCCGTGGACTGCGCAGAGAACCTTCTATGTCCTGGCAGAGCTGAGGAGCCAGGCTCAGACGGTCACATTCCAGCGATAGCATGAACGGCCATGTTGGGTGAGAAAGCCGCGAAACCCACGTGTTGGAATGTGGCAGGACTTCACAGTAGAGTTAATCTGGGGCCAGGAGAGGTGGAGAGCCCAGACAGGGCTGCTCAGGTGTCAAGGGAGTGCCCTGGTCAGGTCTTTCACCCTCTGAGTGGGTTTGAGTGCAGTCCTTCAAGCCCCAGGGTAGAATGCCCTTCAGTGTGCTCCAGATTATTGGGTCATGTTAAAGGACTGTTTAAGATTTGCATCCCAAGGAAAATCATGCTACATAAAAATGACCCAAGATTTTCGCCCAAAAAACTTCTTGGATAAAATCTAAAAAATACTATTGCAATTGCGTCTCTTGAAGAAAAAAAAAAACATTATTCTAAATGTAAACAGATTCACTCAACTCTCTTGTTGTTGTGGAAAGCGTCAGAGTGGGTGTGCTGTCTAACTTACTGCACACACTGCCAGAGGTGGGAGCTGCTTTCTGCACCATCATCTGGGGGGCGAGAAGAACCTGTCCACATAGCTGAAGAGCGCGTCCCAGTGCTTCCAGAGAAAGGCAACAAAAACCACAAGGAATAAAGTGCTGAACGTCCTGTTGCGAGTCTTCATGAGGGGAACCACGCAGTTGGCTACTGTTGACACGAAGACCAGAAGGACGGCCATGACAGCCAGGAGGATGTTGATGAGTTTGCCCAGAAGGTTCCGGGCAGTGGCATTCTCCAGCCCTTCCAGCTGCACCACCTGCTGCTGCTGCTGCTGCAGCTCCATCTTGGAGATGCGAGTCTGGCAGGCCTCCAGGGCCTCCTGCGGGCCAAACGGGGGATGACGGTTAGGCTTCTGCTCTCTGAGTACCCCAAGGTGCCTCTTGAGCCATGTCAAGGATCTGAACTAGGCAGAGCCTTGAGCATGGAAGGTCGGATGCACAGATCGCTACTCAAGTGACTTACTCCCCCTGCACTCCGTGGATGGCTCATGGGAACCACTGGCCACACTGATGTATTTGGCCTAGAAATCATGTATCAAATACGTGATTTTTTTTCTTTCATAAACTTTCAATCCAACTTGCACAAGTTATTTACATTATTAATCTAAGGTGTAAATACATATATACATCTTTAGAGACATATATCTTTAAAGACAAATTTTAATTTGAGAACACATTTTTCAACTAGGATAGTCTCCCTTGATGCTTTCCTCAACACTATCTAACTGTGGGTGTGGTGAGGGATACTTCATGTCCAAACACAGACCTACCTCGTTCTCTCTAACTGCTAGACAGCATTTGATAGGATGGGCATGTCGCACATTGTCCAGTCGGCTCCTGCTTGGGGGTTTCTGGATTGTCTTCTACTTTTCCACTCTGACAGTGATGCAGTGAGCACTCTGTGCACCTGCTACCTGGTGTTTCCTAAGTTGAGCCAGGCCCTGATCAGCTTTAACAAGGCTAAACTCCCTTTGTAGGCTGATCTCTGTAAAGAGGATATTGTGCTCACACTCTATACACAACATTAAAAGTGGCTGTTCTGCTCAAGGCCAAGACTTTTACTGTGGGTTGACAAGAATTCCACTGCATCATTAATAGAACCTATTTCCCTAGTCAGGCCCAGGCATCTTCCAAGGTCTGGCACTCATGCAGTTTTACTGGCTTTGGTTTCAATGGATACTGTCTCCTGGGATGTGAGGTAAGACCAGGCAGTGTTAGACTGAAGATGGCTCTACTGGGTGGATCATGGGTGCTTGCACAGCCTATAATCTTGGTGAGAAAAAACAAAACTAGAACACAAACATAGTTCCAGGGCCCAGAGAAGATGACAGCAGGGCAAGTCATCAAGACTAGATTCCTTTAGGTGGCTGTCATCCAAGTTTCCTGGGCCTCTTCCCTTCTCTGAGACCAAGGCCTGTTCCCTTAGAAATGGTTCGCCACAGAAATAAGGAACTACTGTTCTACTGCTCTGTGGAACAGGATTGACAGGCTATTCACCTTACACATCACTGCATCAGTGTCACTCCTAAGTGACTCGGATCTGGGAACTGGGACCAAAGTCCTTCTTTGCCATAGAAGCAGGGGAGGCAGGCAAGCCTGCCTCAGGACTGGCCAGAGCAACTTCTGGAGCAGGAAGCAACAGATGGACCACCCCAAAAACGGCACAGAATTTTGAGAACATACCTCCATGGCTTGAAGAACAAGTGCACTAGAGTGGTATAAGCTTTTCTTTCTGTGCCAGTCCTGGGGCTTGAACTCAAGGCCTGGGCGCTGTCCCTGCGCTTTTGTGCTTAAGGCTAGTGCTCCACCACTTGAGCCACAGAGTTACACTTTGGACTTTTTGCTGGTTAATTAGCAGTAAGTCTTACAGACTTTGCTGCCTGAGATGGGTTCAAATCTCAACCCTCAGATCTCAGCCTCCTGAGTAGCTGGGATTATAGGCGGGGCCACTGGTACCCAACATACTAACTTTTCTTGATATTCTAACCTCTCATTTCTCCCCACTCCCATCCTCTTTTCCTTTCCCTTTTTTTCCTTCTAGCCCTTTTACCTTCTTACCCTGTAGTATTTTGTTTTTACAACTTAGCCTTCCTGCTAACCTGGATGTCCCGGGCCCGTTCATAGGACTGATATGCAATTTTCTCTTCCATGCTGGCCAATTCCTGCTTTAAGTTCAAGATTTCATTCTGGTGGAGTTCTGTAAGGTCATTTAGTTGTTCTTCTAATCGTTCACATCTAAGAAAGAGAGAAAGTTTTATGCATTCTGTATCTTTCTTGGTGAAATGTACACCAATCCCCCCAAATCCATTCTGCAAAGAAGAAAATACAAGCATAAAGAATTGAGTAGCTTGGGTAATTGGGTAATAAGCCATGCTAGTGGGTACTGCTCTTAAGTCTCTGGAAAGGGCAGCTTGTTATAGGCCAAATCAGCAACACAGCTTTTCTATAATCTTCTCAATACACAGCATCTGCAGCAGTTTCAGCAGCTTTGGTTAGTTTCAAGTATATCATTATGATAGTGAGGCAAGTTCTTATTCTGATCTGAGCAATATATGGGAGAAGTAAAAACTAGAATACAGGAAGGGATTACATTGTCCTAAAAAATGCACTCATCACCTGACTTATGAAACACCTGACTTATGGTAACACCTCTGTACAATACCTTAATACTAACAATAAAATTATATTTAAAAACACTAGCATACAATTAAGCAAACCTCATCGGAAGACAAACAGCATATAGCTGAAAATTGACTACTAGAGTAGTAGTCCCTGGTAGCCTAATCCAGTACTGGACAGCTTCTGCCTGCGTGTTTGCAAGTCAGAGCCCTAGAATACCAGAGCTAGCAGTGCCGTACGACATTCGTCAATGAGCATTTCCTAAGAGCTAGTTGTGCACAGAGCATGCTCAAAGTGGTGAGATACCGCTGTCAGTGAGACAGAGCACCCACCCTCAGGAATCACATTCAATGGGGGAGATATGAGGCAAAAAAACTTACAGGATTTCTGGCAGAAAGAAGTAAAACAAAATCAGTGGGGCTATATGAAAGGGTGGCTAGAGGCTGGGAGCTAGAATGGCTGGGAAAGGCTTCTTTTCCTGTCCAACTCTGTTTAGCAATGAAAGCTGAAAGCCAAACGACATAAACAGAAGCCGGAAGACGAAGGAGACTGAAGTGTTGTAGAAGGAAAAGTAAGTACAGAGTTCAAGAGGGGAACTAGCTCAGCCTGCCTGTGTGGCAGAAGTGGGCCAGAGTGGATGCAACGCAGCAAAGGACACAAAGACAAGGCTGATTGGGAGATAACAGTCCACTTGTACTTCCAACACTTAGGACCAAAGGTTTACTTGTCAGAAAGATGAAACTTAGGATGAGATTGGAGGAAAAAAGGACATGGGAAAAAGGCTGGAGTTACCCCCAGGCGTTACAGCATAATTAGAATAGTTCCACAGTGTGTAGGAGTCACATGAGTCACATGACAAATACAGTGTTTTAGGAAAAGGAATGTCTGGTAGCGACAAAGAGGGCAGATGAAGCAGGCTGCTTTTTTAGTTCTTGAAACCAACTGAAGAAATGAGGCAGGAAAAAGGTTGAAGACTACACGTTAAACCTGTTAGAAATGGGGAAGAAGGAAAAGAAGTAGCAATGTATCTCCATCTTCTGGTGACTTGAACGTAATTGTCCCTGTCAGTCGGAGGACAACCACGAGGAGGGCACACATGAGCCTCACGTGAGCCTCGGGAGATTTCTTATTAAGAATACAACAGTAAAGCCAGGAGCAGGGTGTGGTGACACATACAGGAAGACTAGGAGGTCCTGGGTTACACCCAGTTACAAAACAAAGCTGGGTGCTGATGGCTAGGATCATGTCTGTAATCCTAGCTACGCAAGAGGCTGAGAATTGGAGGATCTCAGTTCAAAGTCACATTTCATTTCCAAAATACCAGTAAAAGCCAACCCGGAAGGAAAGCAAAGCCCTCACTCCCTCCCGCCCCTCTCTGCTGACATCATGCTCCATCATGTTCCCGCTTGGGTTGGCTTTGGGCAACATGGCTGGAATGTATCTGCCACAGAACTATGATATACCAAACCTGGCTAAGAAAGTTGAGAGATGAAAAAGGACTTAGAAACCAAGAAGAAACCTCCTAGTTCCTGAGACCCTCCCCAGCACTGAGTTCTGGATACAGCAATACACCCAGTTGCTGTGGAAGGCTCTTGACCTCCTGACCCAGAGCTACTGTGCTTGTTTGGCCTCAGTCATTACTTCTTTGCTAGATGCTAGGTGTTGCCTCAGAGCAGAATCAGGTCCACAAGTTCAGATCTCTCTTCTGCTTTCAACAGCCTTGCTTTACCCCATCTTCCTTCATCTACTTGGGGAGTTTGAAGATGGGAATTACTGGTACTAGCTTAGCAAGTAAGAACTTTAATTCATAGTTTCTCTCATTCTTAGGAACTTCTACTGTTACTTGTCAAAAGAAAAACTGATGAGTTTTGTATAGCTGATCGTATATAAGTAATGCTGATTTCAAAGTTTAGCAATCATAATGCTTGTTAAATATTTGTTACTAAATTTTGTTGTTTCAAAGTAATTAAAATTAATATGTAGAAATTAGTTTCTGGTGAATTATCCACTTATTTTATACTGTTCAGTATAATTTTTTTTTTTTTTTTGGTTGGTCGTGGGGCTTGAACTCTGGGCCTGGGCGCTGTCCCTCAGCTCTTGGCAAGAGCTATACCAATTGAGCCAGAGTGTTACTTCCGGTTTCCTGGTGGTTTATTGGAGAGAAGAATCTCATAGCCTTTCCTGTCCGAGCTGGCTTTGAGCCACAATTCTCAGATCTCAGCCTCCTGAGTAGCTAGGATTACGGGTGTGAGCCACCAGCACCCGGCTTCAGTATAATTATATATATTACATTTATAACTTATTTATACTGTTGTCAGTATAATCAGTGTTATTCACCTAAGCCAACTTGGAGTTGTGGCTCAAGTGCTAGAGTGCCAAGTGTGAACAGGAAAACTAAGCAAGCACAAGGCCTATAGTTCAACCCTCTCCCACCAGCAAAACAAGCAAATGGCTGAATACTTCAGTTTTTAATGTGTGAAGCTCTGGGTTTGATCTCCAACATCACTTACTTACACATACACACCAAAGGAAAGCATAATGAGGCATACTTACAGGGGGTGGGAGGGAAGTGGGAGGCAAGAAGGAAGAAGGGAGGGAGGAAAGGAGCAAGGGAGGGAGGGAGGGAAGGAAGGGAGGAAGGAGGGAGGAAGGAAGGGAAGAAGGAGGGGAGGGAGGGAGGGAGGAAGGTAGGAAGGGAGGGAGGGAAGGGAGAGAAGGGAGGGAAGGGAGAAAAGGGAGGGAGGAAGGGAAGGGAGGGAAAGGAAGAGAATGGGGGCCAGGACAAACTCAAACATTTAAAACTAGCCCCTTTTCTTTCCTCATGTTTATGTGCTTTTTTTTGCTTTGTTTATGGTGCTGGGGACTGAACCCAGTGCCTTAAACATGTTAGGCAAATGCTCTACTTCTGAGCTACATCCACAATTGTCCTGTTTTGTTTTTCAAACCATATCTGCAGTATACAAATTTAAAATTTATTTCCCCCCTTTCTGGTGGGCTGGTAGCTCATGCCTATAATCCTAGCTACTCAGGAGCTGAGATCTGAGAAAACTGGTTTGGAGTCAGACAAATCTGAGAGATCCTTATTTCCAAATAACCAGCAAAAAGCTGGAAGGAGAGGTATGGCTCAAGTGAACAAAAAAGCCAAGCACAGGACTCTGAGTTCAAGCCCCAACTATCAGCAAAAACCAACCAACCATTTTTTTGACAAGTTCTCATTACTAGTAGCCTAGGCTGGCCCTGGCCTCTCAATCTGCTGCCTCAGTCTCCTGAGGACTGGGACTGCAGTTATATGCTACCATGCCTGGCTGACCAGACAGACTTTTTAAGGACACCAGCAGAATATGCAAACATTTAAGAAATACAAAAATTTCTCTGTTGAGGGTAATTTTTATGCTGTAGCATCAACATTCTCCTTTTAATTGAATAATAATCAGCAGTTATAACCTACATTCCATTCTTCTCTACAACAATTTACAAACACAGAAGTCATAGTTGACTCCTTCATACCATGCTGCTAAATCTTACTTGGTTCTCCTTTACCCGTAACTTTCTCTGACTCTCCCCCCGTCCTGCTTCCCGCTGCTGGAACTGTCAATTATTATCAAGGCAACAGAGCAGCGACATTGATATTGCCTTTGATTAGGAACCAGGCTGATATTCTTGGACCAGGGAATATGCTCAGAAACAGATGCCATTTTTGGAATACATTTCTACCCAATTTTAAGTTTGCCAAATGTCCTCTAAGATTATGTTAATATACCGGGCCCTGTGTATGGTGGTGAGGATGGAAGCCAGGGCCTCACATGTAGTAGTCAGGTGCTTACCCTTGAGCCACCTGAGCTGCCTATACTTAGCCATATGTCTTGTAGTGTTATGAGTTGAGGCCTTTCTGGGGTCTAGCTCAGTGGTAGAGACTGTGCTCAGAGTGGTCCTGGGTTCCATCCCCAGTGCCAAAAACAAAACCATTAAGAGAATGAAGTGTGGGTCCCTTGTAAACTAAGAGAAAGGTTGTCTGGGAACAAATGCTCCTAAGCAAAGGGAGGGCATCTGCCAGAATAGACACCCTCTGGCATTGTGTTCTACAGGTGACCACCCCATCCTTTGGGACCACATGTCAAAGATCTAATTTGATATAAAATGTGGCTCACATATATTACTAGAACAAATTTTTCAAAGATTAAAAAAAGTAAAACTTAGTTTCAAAGGTACTTCCCAAAGGCACCCAGCAGGGGAACCCAGGTTTTGATTTGAACCCAGGTTTGACTTTAAAAATTGAAATTCTTAAACTTTGCACTGTGATGCCATCTTGAAACTAGTCAAGAACCCCAGAGCAACTAACTCCCTTTAAAACCGAGGAATCTGAGTCAGTTTAACAGTGGTCTATGTCACACAACCACTAAAAGGGATGGGAACACTCCACTAGCATGATGGTTAGAGCTAGAGGAAGAGAAGGGCACAATGAAAAGATTGGGGATCTGTGCTGAGAGATAATACCAAGTGTCAGCAAAGATGAGGACATGGTTGGATCTTTCCTTACGTTCTGCTGGTGAGAAATGAAATGGTAAGACTGCTGGGGAAAATGGTTTGGTAGTTCCTCACAAAGTTATGCACTGTTA